GCCTTCTTTAACAGGATAAATGAGTTTACTTTTGTTTTCTATAATCATCACATCATAGCGATTCAGCAACCAATAGTCCCTGGGTTCCTTCTTAGTAGTCATTTTGGCTTTTTGTACATCATGTATTAACTTCTGGTAAGTAGTTTCGGTTAAGAAAATACTGTTTTTTGCAGCATTAACTTGAATTTTGGACAGTTCATTGTCAAATCGTTGTTTCATGTCTATAGACCATGACACCTTCTCCAACACTATAGCTTGCTCCTCCATTTTCATGGAGCTCAGTAAAAAACTAATTTTTTGTTGAATAAATTTAAGTAAAATTTTGTATTTTGACACTCCCGAACAAACCGCAAAGTGTTAAAAATCCGTTTCGTTTCAAATATCACGTGCCTTGCCATGTGATATTCGAAATGAAACGGAAATATATTTCATACTTTGCCAGTTTCTCATTTGGCATTCTATAGAATGCCTAGGAAATTTGTAAAATATGAATCGTTTTATAGATTGCCGGCTAGTTTTAGGCATTATATACAATTAAAAACTAGGCTTATACTAGCCCGATACATTTTCAGCATTCAGTTGGTGTGTAGCTATATTATATATCGGGTTTAGCAATGTTTGTATTATATACAATGCCTAGGCATTCTATAGAATGCCAGATTTCGAACTTTGCCGGTAACATCATTATACTGTATGTTTTTATGCTAGCAGTAAATGTTGTAGAAATATTTTTGCACTTGTGTACCAGAGATAATTTAGGTAGAGCAGTGTTTCTCTAACTAATCAGATTCCTGGGAACTAGGATAGGTTGATGTGGTCCTAAAGTTCTAAGAAGAATGTGTTATGCACAACTATTTTACACTAAACATAATTTAATGTTTAAAAATACGGTATTTACCTTATATCCTAGGCATTTTATAAACTTCATACTAATTTTATAAGCTTGATTCAAATATGAAATTTTACACATTACACAAATACAGTAAATGAAATACATCCATAATACACAGTTATCAATATAATCCTACTTATCACAAAATATTTATAAAGGAAGATGTTATGTGCAGTTTGATTGAAATAAAAAATATTTAGGTACAGGAGAACCTCGTTAGTTCAAAATTCAAGGGACAAAATAATCATGACTTTGAATTATCTTAGACTTACATATTTCTGTACAATATGCAAAATGCTACATAACTGATGTAATTTATTAAGCAAGCATAATACAACTATGTATACAGAATGCTATTTTTGTTAATTAATAATTAATAGTAATAATATAAATAAACTGCAGGTAAAAAGCATGTGTCTGCTAAGAACCTCACAGGTTGCCAAGTAGGCTTCATAAAAAGTAAAGTAGAATTCCTTGAAATGTAACCCAAACTATTTTTGAAGTGAGTTCTAAAACTAGTAAGTTGACTAAATGTCCAAAAACTAATAAGTTGACTAAATGTACTAGCCTAGAGCCCTACAAATATGTCAGTCTGCTGCTTGTAGCCCAATCTTGAAACTCCAAAACCTTCTTATTTTATAAGATAAGAGAAAAAAATTAGTCCATGTAAGTAAGGTGACACACAAAAATGTGTTACCATAAAAGCAAAGCCATATTGACCAGATTAGAGTTGTTCTTGGTCTATTGTACTCTTATTGTAGAGACACTTCAATTTAAATGAACAATTTAACATATATATATATATATCACAGCTTGGACAAAATTTTCACTTCAAATGTCAAAGTAGCCTTATTTCAAACTAACCAAATTTTTTAACATGTAAATCTATTCCTGATTGGGACAAATAGTACAGTTATGAACTAACAAGATTTTGAACTATCTGAGTTCAAATTAATAAGGATTTCCTGTACATGTTATTGCACACGCAAATCAAATGAGAAACTTATGTAGCCATGCAAAGTACAATGTCCATGAATAATTTCTTCCATTTATTTAACAATAACTCAGAATTCTTTACATTGAATGTTATTCGTTACCTAGATGAAAACAGGTGAAAACTTTACCAAGATGCAAATGAGAACATTTGATAAGAAAACAATTATTATAAGCATATTAATTTTTGTATGCTATCAGTAATTGATTTATAAATAGTCATGGTGTTTGTATGAGCTAATAAAAAATATCTGACCATTGAAATTTGGTTAACATTTTATATTTATTTTATTTTCATATACAAACTGTACCTGATCCATAGAAACATAGTAAGGTAAAAATACATTGCTTGAAACATTTGTTTCAGTGGCTAGGGAGACTAGGCTAGTCACAAATTCCTTGAAATACAGTACAGTAGAGCCTCGATAACCCGGCACTCCGGATAACTCGGCCACACCCTTGCAGGGCAAAATACCCTTAAATAATTAATTTTCATCATAGACAGCTTTATACCTCATAGAGTATTTTTCTGGAGTCTGTCTTATCACGTAAATTACTGTACACAGTTTATTCATTAATTTTCATTTTAATGTAGTAAAGGCTCTATGCCTTCATAAAGGACGTACTTTTCCTTTGTTTAAGGGTATTTGGGCAGTTTATTCTCTGTTGTATTCTCAAGCAAACAATACATACAAGTACAGTACAATATTTTCTGAGGAAACACGCATTCTTATCCTTTTTTAACCCCATTCCCGATAACTCGGCATTTTCACAAACTCGGCCACCCTTCAGTCCACATTAGGCCGAGTTTTCGAGGCTCTACAGTCGACCCCCCTATAAGATCATTGATTTTTCCGTTTTATCTGAATTACATGTTGTACGAGTCACTTAGATTTTACAAATATGTGAGCCATTCACAGTCCGGCACACGCATTTGTAAAATCTAAGTGACTCGTACAACATGTAATTCAGATAAAACAGAAAAATCAATGATCTTATAGGGGGGGTCGACTGTACTGTATAAATATTATTTTTAATGCATTTGTATTTAAAACCTTTTGCTTGAAAAATATGTATTTTTTCATGTATTTTCCCCATCTGTCTTCATGCTGAGTTCAATTCTTCCACAAACCAACCCAAACACCCCCTCAGGGCTCCTTTAGTCAAATCATTGACAGGACTAATAACAGCAGACACGTGTTCCTGTCATACTATTATTTTGTGTGCATCCAGGTAGCTCTGAAATAAGAGATTTTGTTTCTTGTGCTTATTGAAAACAAAATTTCAATAGTGATTTTTGTATTTCTATTATGATAAGACTCAAGTTTTCATCTAAAGTGTGAATCTACTTAAAAGACAGTATATGTGATTAGAAAATTTTGAATTCAACATGAAAAGGGACTTTTAAGATAAGAATGTCCCTTGCAGCAAAACATAGTGCAGTTTGAATCGGTTAATCATACAGCCAATCTAGGTGAATCACCGCAGCAGAGCGAAGACAATCAACAATTTCCGTGCTGTATTCTATTTTATTTAAAATTTTAAATTATTTTTAATTATTATAAAATGGCAAAAAGCTTCATTTTGAAGGTAGAGATGGGCTTTATAAAAATAACTAAATGCTAACAAATAAAATCATCATTAAGTCTGATCTACCTACTCGAGATATTACACGACCCCCTTTATTCCCCACCACATGGCCTTTAACCATTGAAATTTAATAGCATCAATCTCCCTAATACACGAACCTCCCTTCTAAATATCAGACATTTTTGGCAAAAGAGAAAAGTTATTAAGCTTCGAAGAGGGTGAACAAAATTGTTTCTCCCACACACATACAAAAACACATCCATAATATGGAAAAAAAATCCTGAATATTTTGAATTTCTCGACGTTTCAAGGTCCCCGAATCCAAAACTATAAAAATCTTGAGAGTCATACTTTCTCCCTGTTGTAAAGTAAAATTAACATACCAATAATATGCAAATAAAATAAATTTTTTTCCGGCTGTTTTATTAAATAATAATTGGGCACTTGTGCAGTTTAGAGGGTACGGCTATTTGGATGGTTTTCTTCCATAAAATCAATCGATTCTAGACTAATTTGATTCGAATATTTCCAAAACACGTATAATTTTTGGGAATAACCCATATAAAATATGTTATAAACAAAAAATTGTCTGAATACTTACCAAGTGTACCCCGTTTGAAGACGCCATTGCTTAAGCTTGTTTTCGTCGCGGAGCGGCACATCAGATGGCGGATGAGTACAAAGCGTGTCACACGACATTTGTTGGTGCTATTCGGTCATGTGACTACTCATCTCTGACGTGTTCCTGATAACTTATTAGAGAGACTGCGGCCGACGTTTTCGTTGCGAAAACGTGTACGTCGGACGTTCAGCGCCGCCTTCCTGTAAGCCTACAAGTTTGACAATGGCATTTGGAACATCAGTCGAATCATGCTCGACGTGTCAAATGCCATTGTCAAACTTCTAGGCTTACAGGAAGGCAGCGCTGTACGTCCGACGTATACGTTTTTGCGATCAAAACATCGGTCGCAACCTTTCTATTCTTTTTGCAATGAATTCGCTGAACTTTGGAGAC